AATTCGCCGTGACGGTTTTCTTACCCCTCCGATTGCTTGGAGTGTGCAACAAGAACAGACAGAATTCCGATTGCCTGGAGTGTGCAACAAGAGCAGACAGAATTCGCCGTGACAGTTTCCTTACCCTTCCGATTGGAGTGTGAAACAAGAACAGACAGAATTCGCCATGACAGCTTCCTTACCCTTCCGTTTGCTTGGAATGTGCAACAAGAACAGAAAGAAGTCGCCGTGACAGTTTCCTTACCCTTCCGATTGCTTGGAGTGCGCAACAAGAACAGACAGAATTCGCCGTGACAGAACAGACAGAATTCGCCGTGACAGTTTCCTTACCCCCCGATTGGAGTGTGCAACAAGAACAGACAGAATTCGCCGTGACGGTTTTCTTACCCTTCCGATTGGAGTGTGAAACAAGAACAGACAGAATTCGCCGTGACAGTTTCCTTAAACTTGCGATTGGAGTGTGCCTACAGAACAGACGGAATTCGCCGTGATTACTGCCTGCCACCCCACCACTGTTCGCGCATGCAAGAAGTGTGCTGAAGCCAGGCGTGGCCCCAACAACCGATACTCAACAAGCCCACCAACTGAAAAAACACAATCTGTTCAAACAAGTCAACCCAAGAAACCTGGTGAGCTTTGGTAGAGGGAGAGAGAGTCGCAAATGGTCAGCTCGTCAGCTCAGCTTTGCCTGCTCCGTCGCCCAGTCCACAGCGACACAGCCGGCCTGGGCACCAGGGCCACGCAGATACGCTAGAGTCCGCTAGAGCTCTGCAAGTCTCTGCATCTTAGTGACAGTGCGAAAAATTGCAGACGCCCACATTCAAGCCCTCAAGCCTCGTCCTGGTGCGCGACGACGCTGTTCAGGCAGGTGCCCTCACCTGAGATTGGAAGGGGGAGCCCAAAAATACCTGACTCCTGTAGAGTGGGTGTCAAGCTGAGGTCCCATAGCTGCATGCGCCCATCGGAAGTTGTGCAGAGTACACCTGGAGTTCTGGCTCTGGCTCCTGACTCTGCCTTGCGCCTCTTGGACTCTTGGGACCTAGCGCATCCTCTCCCAGCAAGCAACCATCGCCTGTTCGGTGCGGTCTACACAGAGAAAAGCACTTCGTCGACTGATTCCCCCACCAGGATTGCCGACTGCACGAGGGGAGTCATGTCCTGCACCTCAGAAGTCAGAGACCAGGTGGCGCCCGCAGAATCCCTTTTGTCAGTCGAGTACCGCCTTCTCTGCATTGGCGGGATTCCAGAGCCTGATGCCTCCTGCTGCACCGCCAAGCATTCGGCAGTCTTTGCAGCTTTCAAGCGCGCCCTGCCTTCGCTGGCTCCGGAGAGGATGTGCCGAACCTTGGGCTCCTTAGCGATGAGCCGCAGAGTGATGACTGAAATTGGAAGGGGCCCCCGGGCCTTCTGCGACGAGACCACGTTCAGCATCACAAGGCCGGGCTCCACAAACCAATCCTGGACACAGCGCTCTCTCTCGCCTGGTCAGTGGCACAAACACGGGACTTGGACCTCCAGCGTGGAGTCGTTCGGCAGCATCTCCCCAAGCCTCTCGCGCAGTCTATAGGGCATACTTCTTGGCAGGTGCATAAAAGAGGAGTCGTGAAGAGTGCCGCACCAAAGCAGCTGCGAGGAGGCGGCAGCACCGGGCAGCCGCTGCTTTAGAGAACCCACCTGGCTAATCTTCAAGTTCTTGGGGCCTCGTCTCTTTGTTTCCTTCTTCTTCTGCTGGGTGTCAATGGTGTCAGGGGCAGGCCCGACCCCCCGTCACCAAGCCCACCCTTATGTTCGGACTCCGGAAAAATTGTGTCAGAGGGTCTCTCTCCCGCGATTCAATTCCATGAGTCCAACTCGTCATTTACATGCTCGAAAACACAGTTATATGGGAACGTGTTTTGCTGCATGCTAATACAGGGACAAGGGCTGTTATACATTGGTACATCGGTTGACATCGACGAGTTTCCACGATGAAGAGAAGGCTGTCCGTACGTCAATCGAACTTGCTGAGGTGGTGACTGTGATCGGAACTTTGAAACTAAAGCCAATGCATCCTCCGTGCCAGACGGCCGAGCCGACGCGTGTGCGAAGCCTTGGCCCTTGCTTGCTGCTCTTGGAATGTGCCAGTGCAGTGGTGGAGTGCTCATCCGTGTCTTCTTCCTATACATGCACATAACAATGACAGTCTGCGGTCAAATAACTCGAATCAACAAACCCGGGTCACAACACCAATCCCCGAAAACCCCAAGCGGAAGGCGAAGCACTCGTGTTCCTCTTCAGTCTTTTGCGCGACACATCACAGCATCAACGGCCGATTTACATATGCAACATGGCGTCAAGGTGGTAGACTAGATCATCAAGCAACTGCCAAGAATTCATTGAAAACTGCGTCACCAACAGAGCGAACTTTGTCTTTTCGAAGCAAAACAACCGCCGATCCACTAGCAATGAAACAATTATTCGATTAAATATTTCATCAGGAATTCGGGATTACATTAAACAAGACAACTTGCAACGAGACAGATAATCTAGTTGGTAAGTTAACAGCAGACAGCGATTTCGATTTTGATGTTGATATGGACTTTACAGGAACACCAGAATTTTTTGGAAGTAGTCTAGATTTGCTTTGTATGCCTGCCGGCTTAACGCTTAACTTCCTGGCCACCAAAATTGAGTATAACTCGTGGCAACGTAGATGGCGTGAGGTCCAGGAGCAAGACAACAGTCGACTGAATTGGGCTGAGTTGGGTGGCGGTCAAAAGCGCGGTGCTCGGGCTTTCAGCTTCCTCGCTCTCCGCGCTCTGCTTTCTCCCGGGCATGGGGGCAGGTCAATGCCTCTCTCTCCCTCTCTCCTTTCTCTGCTCGGCTTTCGTTTTCGAGTCTTTTCGAGGCAGGGCACCTTCTCCTTGGGTCCCACCACCAGCTTCGCGATGGAGCGGCCGCGCATGCTCCGAACCCAGACCTGACATGAGAGCGGTGAAGGGCCGACAGAGAGACACTGCGACTCTGCCCGACTCTGCGCTTCATATGCGCTTGTCTGCGCTTGTGATGATGTCTACGTATGGTATAGTATAGTATAGTGTAGTATAGCATAGTATAGTATAGCATAGTATAGTGTAGTGTAGTATAGTATAGTATATCAGATTATATTTTCAGTATGTTATATTATGTTTACGTCTGCAGAGGCGCGTCGTGCAGAGCGGCCTTGAAGGCGCCTTCGGGCACCTCGCCGAAGCTGGCCGAGAGCGTGGTCCTGATTTTTCTTTCCAAGGAAGAAGAGAGGGAGGGAGGGAGAGAGAGAGAGAGAGAGAGAGAGAGCGAGAGAGAGAGAGATATATATATATATACATATACATATATATATATAGGTATGTATGGTACCCCCCGCTGGACCAACCTCTGCCACGAAACTGATCATGTCTGTACTTGTGTTGCCGCGGACTGATATCGAAATCCCTGCACATGCCGATAGATTCTGTGTTGGTTCTTGTGGTCTTAAGCATATATGAGTCATGACACAGTCTCAAAAAACATGTTACCATTTCGTGATTCTATTTCTTGTGGTGTTACGTACTCTCCTGTTCTGTCTCACCGTCTAGGGGTATGTTAAAGATGTTTTCTTCTCAAGCAATACACTCAGAGCCCACACTGCTGCATGCGAAGCTGTGTTAATGCAAATGAAGGCTGCCCAGATGCGTGAGCTCAGGTTCTTTCCTTGTAGCACAAGGAGCAGAGATACACATGTAACGATCGCGATTAGACAGTCTCTCAGAGACTTCTATTCATCAGTCTCCATGCTCGCTGCTCGTCGAGACGAAGATAATGTTAGCTTTAGTGTTAATGCTGGTGTCAATGTAAATGTCAATGACAGTGTTAGTACTAATATCAATACTAGTATTAGTATTTGTCTCACTATACATCTATGAAGTATTAGTAATAACATTATTGTAGCGTTCGTGTTAGTATTTGTTTTACTCTTCGTCTTAGTCTGAGTCTTAGTCTTAATATATGTACATTAGGAAAGAAATATATTAGTATACAAGTATTTTGGCATATTAGTATATTAGCATATTGGTATAATTAGTATAGTGTTATATTGGTACATTGGTGATTGAAAGTACTGATTCTTCAGTACATTGTTGCGTGCATGTTTGGGTTGTTCGTTGTAGCAGTATGTATATTGGTATACAATGTGAGAAGAGAGAGAAAGGGAGAGCGATGCGATCACTGGGGCAACAGCGCGGCCAAGCTGGAATCTCGCGTCGGAGAGGACAGGCTCAGGGATGTGGCACCTCAGCCATGCAAAAGCCCTGCCCGGCCCAGAGGCCCCAATGGGCCACAGGGCGAAGAAGACGCGAGGGGCCGAGGGCGCCGGCTGGTGGGTGCCGTCGAGACGGAGCTCCTCGAGGCCTCCCCGAAACGCGCAAAAAGGTCGCTCCTTTCGTCTCGCCCTGCGCCGATTGCGCCTTCAAGCCGCTTCCCGGCCCTGCGCCCTGGCAACGTAAGTGACCCGGGAGGCCTATTGGAAAAGTAATGTGTCTTAAGCTGAAAAGAGACGTGTCTCTTGCGGCGTTGCGGTGCTCTCCCAGAGGCCTCGGACTGAGCTTCCATGGCGGCGGCCTGCATGCAATGCAGATTCTTGACAAAGCGTCAATTGAGACAAAGGCCGCTAACACCTGGCGAAAGCGCGTGGCCTTGGTGAGATCGGTGTACGGGCAAGACTTTCTCTCGTGGAATTTAGAAGCCCCGCCTATAAGATTGTTCCGTGACAATCCGCGTTAGCACAAATCAGATGAGAGTTCCAGACATTCTGTTCCAACAGAGACTCGCACGGCGCTCACGAGACATCAGACTGCCTTTGGCAGCCTCTGTACATCTCTGTACCCTGCAAGTGTCGCTGGGGGTGGAACCATGAAGCTGTAGGGATCTTCTGGGCGTTCCCGAAGCAGCAGCTCGAAAAGGCCATGCATGAACTGCAGGTCAGGTCAGGCACTAGACTAGAGTCACTAGAGATTGGAGTGTGCGCCTCGTGCAGTCGGTGAGTGTCCAGGTAGGCTCTCGCATCTGCTTCGGCATCCCTCTTCTTCACCTAGCAGCCAGCAGCAGCCAGCACTCGCCGACGGCCGACGACTCTGCTCTCTCTCGAGCTCCGAGCCGGAGCCGCGTCTTCCAGCCGCCGACCTCGGAGGCCAAAAACTCTGGTTTACTACTTATTGGATGACTGGAAGATGTGATGGAAGAGATGAATGCCTTTTCTTGTTGCGGCCCTGCTGTAGGGAGTGGAGCTGAGGCGGCTGAAGGCCGGGCTCAAACTCGGTGAGGTCTTCGGCCTGCCCGAAGAACCGGGCGGAGACCGCGCGCGCGGGGCCGCGGCTTGTGCGGGAATCTGGCCTGGGACCGTTCTCCGTGCAGACCTGAAAGGTCACGCTCATCGGCCGCCTAAGTCGGGTCGAAGAGTCGAAGAGCAGCACTGCAGGCGCGACCGAAAGCTGGGCCCACGGCCCATCCTTGCCTTCCAAGGGCAGCCTACACAAGCCTCGCAAGGTCGCCAAGGGCAAAGTTGCAAAAGCACAGCCGTGCTGTAAGGCCCCAGGCCGTTCTCCCCGGAGGTCAAAACGATGTGCGAAGAAGACTTCCTGAAGAAAACGGCCAAGGCTGGGGCCAACCAAGGCCAAGACTGGCCAAGCCCCTTCCAAGCTGGCTCCCCGGCCCTAGAAGCCCAAGCACATCTATCCGCAAGGGCCATGGCCCAGGCGGAAGCCTTCGACACACCACTTCGGGGGCCCTAACCCCTTGTGTCCCCCCTCTCCCGCCCTCTCACTGAGCATTTTCTCAGAGGCCTGAAGGGCGCTGAGCAGGGCAAGGGACTCTGGCGCCGGGTGGGTCCCGAACGCACGGACAAAATGCTGCCTGCCACTGCGACTGCACGACAGCTCCGTCTAAACCGCTCAGAGAGAGAGAGGAATATAAACCGGGCGGAGCCTTCGGGCAAGCCCAAGTAGTCGAGAATCGTCAGCTCCATGTGCAGGCCGGGAGGCCGGGCCTGAGATTGGCCCGCAATTCCGGTATCTTTCGAAAGGAGGCCACCTGGACGCCTTCCTCTGCGCGGCCAGAACACCCGGCGCTGGCGAGGCCAAACCAAAGACAGTGTCACAAGCACTGAAATATGGAAGATGCTTGTGTGTGTCTGTGTGGCAGCGTGGAGTACTGCGAGGTCGTATCTATATGTTAGCTGCCCCCGAAAAGAAGTATCCAATTGAATGGAGGACATATCGCCAGTACGGGTTCGTGTCCACCTCGGCCCATGCGCCTTCAGCGCTTGGGCCGAAAAACTGCCTGCCGCACTCTGGGCAGCTTCTAAGGCGCCAGGGCTCTTGGCCTCCGGGGCGCGACTTCGAATGCATCTGTTTCTGCCAACTTCTGTCAGGTTTCTGAGCGCATCGCGTCGCACGAATTAGGTGCCACTCAGCGACCTGTCTGATGTCATGTTGAAGGCGGTGCGTCGGAACGAGCTGGCCTCTGCCACATGTTGACGCTAGCTGCTTCCGAAATCTCCGTGAGACGTAACTCCGTGCACCGTCCTCGCAAATGAAAAGAGCTCAGTCCTCCATGCAGGAGACCAGACTTTCAACTTCAAATTCAATTCAGCTGACTGATGCCTGAACCACTAAGATAAGCTTCTCTACTAACGCCAAACTGGCATCAGCTGTCTTTCAGGCCTTCAAGGCCATGAGAGTGTCAGTGCCTTTCCGATACTCGAAGCTTCGCATGATGCGTGCGATGGTGCGATGTGGTGCGATGCGCTGCTCTTCCTTGACCTGTGGCATTGCTCCCAGAAGGGGCCTGATGCCGTCGGCTCTCTTGCGGAGAAAAGTGCACTGACAAATCACGACATACTCCGCACGCGCCCGAAAGGGAACGTGAAAGCGACACCGCTGCACCGATCCCCTGTTTCTGGGTGTTCTCCAGCGGACCCTTTTGCATGGACTTGAGCGGCAAGGATTCGGATGCGGCGGTGAGATCGTGGTGCAGTAAGCGGCCAGCGGCCAGTTTACAGCAGTTAAAGGGTCAAACGATGCGGTGCCTCAGCCTGGGAGCTCCGGGTCGCCCGGCACGCTCGATGAAATCTAGGCACCATCTTGAATGCCGAGGCTGGAAGAGCTCACTGTGGTGAAATCTGCGATCATCCAGAGAGGTCGGAGATGTAAGCTCCTGCAAAAAGAATGCGGGGCGGAGGCGGGAAGGAAGCAGGATAGACCCCCCGACTCCTGGGTGGGGTACGAAGTCGCTTTCATCGCTGACAGCTGCCTCTCACATCACCATAATCACAGACATATAATATATATATATATATATAATATATATATATATATGCTACATATATCTTGGCTTGATTTTTCTACTACTGCCGCCTTCGACAAAGGCAGAAAATCCCCCCGATATCCATGTCACAGCCCCCCCCCCCCGCCGCCTCTGGATGCGGTACAAAGTCGCTTGAGGCGTCAGAAACGGTGTCGACCTGGGGCTCAACATGACGCGACGCGACTTGCCGAGTCGCCGAGTGTGGTATCTTTCTTTCTCTTTCCGAGGTCCGAGGTGAAGACCTCAACTTCTGCACCTCAACTTGAGACGTGTCAGCGATCGCTGTTGCTGCTCTCTAGAGCTGCTAAAGACGAGTTTGCAAGAGTCTTGGATCCCTGCTTTCCGTTGCCTCGCCCAAGCCTCAAGCATTGCTGGCAGAGCCCTGCGAGCTAGCAGAGTGTCATGTTGTCAAATAGCAATGTTCCAAATCTGAGGTCCAGTCAAGAAGGGTTCGTTGAAACAGCAGTGGAACCTGCGCTGTCGCCATTTCACGTGTCACATATTATCACGCTTCGCGCATTGCCCGTAAGGTATTGATCAGGGGACATGGTAGAACTGAATACTCCTCGACGAGGCGTGGAAGCCTTCAGCTATCTCATGCTCGAGCGGATATCTTCTTGCTGCACTTGGCACGACAGCAAAAAGCACTCCCAATGCAATGAATGTCGCAACATGTCGCACACAGCACGCAGGACTGGCCGGCCACCAAACGAAAGCCCAGCGTGGGAGCGGGTTCGTTCGTTCTGGCGCCGTCAGAAAGTTGCTGCAGTCCGCCATCCGACGTTTTGCAAGCCACATGCTTTGCCGTAGAAAGGCGGGTTGCCCTTAAGCCCTCGCTCTCTCGCTCTCCCGCTCTCCCTGTTCAGGCCCGTGGGCGAAGGGGGAGAAGCTCACAGAGAGAGCGCAAAAACGGGCAAACCGGGGCGGGAGGATGAGAGCACGTGCAAGGCTTTGCCAGGCTTCGCAAGACTTTGCAAGCCTCGCCTCGTCTCTCCATAGTTTGACCTGGAAGGCCCCCCTGCGCCGAAAGCCCCACTAATCCCCTCCAGTCTCGGTGCGACACCCTTGCAAATCCTCCGGCACATCATCTCCTTATGAGGCCAAAAACTGACGTGCATGCCACAAAGCTCAAAAGAGAGACTGAGTCACTTAGTCCAGGGCTTGTCGGTATGCCTTCTGCAGCTTTGCTCGTGTCAAGGCACCTTGGATGGGGCTACCGTCCAGGCCATGACACTCTGCTTCGCTAAAGGGGCGTTCAAGCTTTTGCCCAGACGCTTTCGAAGCCAAGTTCTTCAAGCAATCGGAGGAAGTCCTGACTAGTGGTGTCGGGCATGTCCTCGAGCTCCAGGCCTCCATGCCACATCAAGGCATGCCACAGCTGTCTCTGCTCTTCTCTGTGCCTTGTTGGGAGAGGCGCTCTCGAAGCGTGCCCAACAAAGAGGCACGCTCGAGCTCAAAGCAGGGCACGTCTACCTGCTCGACGCAAGGCCGAAGCTGTGATGAATCAGGAGCACGGGGAACGACCTTCACAGTCTCTGCGACATCATTCGACACTCCAACGTATTGGACTTCGTCCTGATGGCCGGCTGAAAGCACACGGATCACGAGTCATTGCAATGCTGCTGCGCAGCAGAGACGTGGAGCAAAGAGCAGGAAACCACTCACTCACTGACTCACTCACTCACTCACTCACTCCCTCCCTCCCTCCCTCCCTCGCTCGCTCGCTCGCTCGCTTGCTTTAAATGACATGAGCCCAATGTACCCCGAATGTTCACGATGCTAGCACTGCAAGGACCCAGGGGACACCGGCGCTATCCTCCGGCGCTGTGTGTCCAGCATTTGGTGCACATGGGGGGTTTACCCTGCAGGGCCCTGCGGCTATAATGTACAGCAATCTGTTCTCATAAAAAGCAATGATGAGCTAAAGAAGCAATCGAGCAAAAGCAAAGCATGGTGCAGGGGGAGACAAGCAACACAGTCTCTGTCTTTCTCTCTCTCCATCCCGTCCTGAGAAAAGACATGGATGACATTGGTGGTGTCACATTGCGGGCAAGTGTTCACCTAAGCATTGCACTGCACTCGGCCAAGCACTGCTGAATTTCAAGCGACTCAAGCACTGTTGGCCGTTCACACACCGAGGGGCTGTGCCGCAAAGTGACGACAAGATCAAAGACATGCTGACTGATCGCAGCTGCAGAGGTCGGGCACGTCTGAACTGCGGCCATGTACATGTGCGCTCACTTCACTGGCACCAACGTGACTGCTTAGGCGCGGCATTGTTTTCCAGTGCCGCCGCCCGCTGCTGCGAAGCTGCAGTCGCTCACACTGCTTTAGCACTATCACTTGTGGAACTGTGGCCTTGATGCAGGTGCAGGCACATGTCCTCATCACAGCCTGGTGTGCCCTGTGGCTGGGAATCGCGCCAGAGACATCAAGGGACCAAGGCCTCAATCCTGGACTCTGCCTTTCAAGTCGGAGGTGTGGCAAGTCAGTGCTTGACTGACGATTTGATGTTGGTGCCACGCAAATGGCTTGCAGTAGCAGTAGCACGCATCACAACACAGCTCCCAGGGGTCACCCATGTCCGGCAAGTGCAATTCCCTCCTAAGCCCTAGGCACAGCAACACGCAGCCTGTTTCGCTTCTGGAGGAGTGAGGCACCAGGGCAGACTTCGAGGCATCAAATCCAGCCGCGGCACGTTCCAAAGAGAAAACCTTTAAGACGCTTTTTCGCCTAAGCAACTGTCGCACCAGTCACCAGTGCCAGACTGGAGTCCGATGCACTTTCAGCCCGCCCAAACTCACAGGGTCACAGGTACGTCCCTTGAACACTGCATCTCACATCTTCTGCAAGTTGCAGGTCCGGGGTCAGTGGCTCCAATGCCACAAGAGCTAAAAACTTTGCAGCATTCACGTGCAAGAACCCCTCCTCCGCCTGAGTTCAGTTATGGAATCAGCCCGAATCACAGGTCTTGAACCACGTGTCTTACAGGATTGGGTGTCCATGTCAGAAAGTTATAGGGCAGATTCCAACATCAAAGAGTTTCTGAGCAGTCCCAGTGAAGCACCAACTCACCGAGGACCACGGAGGTTTCACAAAGCAAAGCAGCCATAAGTAGACTCAACATATGTAGAGACAGAAGGCTTCTTATCAGACACAGCAAGGTGGGTTCAGGGATGTTCTCCCCAAACCCGACCGCCCTGGCTGTTGCCATCTGCTGTGCGTCCTACTTCTACTCGCTGCTTCTCTCACGGCTCCAGTTGAGAGGCTCTGAGGCTTTCATCGCTACCTCTCGGAAACTTGTTGTTTTACGCTCCGCTTGCGTACTGGCGTACCTAGCATCTCAACTTGGGCCTTGGGTGCCCCCGGCCCCGCGACTCTCCCGGGACTGATCCTTGGTAATAAGTCACAACCCGAACCCCTCTGCAAGGGCCGGGGAAGAAAAGACTGAAAAGACTTTTCGGCACGGACGGCCGACGGCAGGTTTGCCATGGGCTTGGCAGGCACAACTGCACAACTACAAGTCTTCTTCTGAGCTGTTCAAGTTCTTCCCCTGCAAAATATGTTGCCTACATGTCCCCATATCTCTCGGGCCCTGAAGCCCTTCACCTTCTGCAAACTTTGCAGGCTGTGTCCTTCTAGCCTGCCCGGTCTTAATTTTGCGTGTCACGAAGAACACCGAAGCCATTCAAACGCCGTGCCTGGGATGGGGTGCACAGCGCATGCAGACTCATGTTGCAAGACCCTGGCCATTTGCGTGACTGGTGGCATTAGTCGCTGGACAGAACGTCACTGCAAGATCGCCGGTTTTGTGAAAGAGTGCAGCTTTGCGAAGAGCTTGGTGACACAGTTGCCGTGCCCTCAGTGCCCTCCGTGCCCTCAGTGCCCTCCGTGCCCGTGCCGTCGTCACTTGGCGCTTTCGGGAGATCCTCGGACTCGCAGCTGTACGGGTCTCCGAGCTTCGCGCGAGTGATACCCGCAAGGCCAGCCAGTGGTGTGGCATCCATGGCAGCCGGCTTTAAAGCCGCGAACTCTTCTGGTGTGATGCATGTGCTCTGTTGCAATGCTGCCTCAGCATACACAACACGTGCGCGGCATGTGAGAGCACAAGTGCACTGGCGCAAACTGCCTTGTGCTGAGGGCCCAGCGAGCAAGGGATACGTTTGCGGAAGGACTGTCTTGCTCTGTCTCAGAGCTTGGACAACGTTCTGCTGCGCGGCTGCTCGGGCGATCTTGGCTCTGGTTCGTGGGCTGTCGTGCGCCCAGAAAGCCAAGATCTGTGCTGCATCTGGGGCAGACTTTTGCGATTCCAGAGAAGACGTCATCAGTGTAAGCACCGCTTCAAGCGTCTGCTCTGCAGGCTCCAGCAAGGGCTCCTCCTCTTCAAAGTCGACTGCGTCGAGCTGCTGCGGTGTCAGCTTCTCCCCGGCTGCCAAGGCCCCCTGCTCGATGAGGTGAACGAGCTTGTTGAATCTCAGAGCATCCTCAAAAAGCAAGAGCCAAAAAGGCATACAGCAAAGGAGAGGGAGAGAGTTACGGAGGGAGCCTAGCGCCCGGGCCTGTGCCAGGAGGTCCCTGAAGGAGATCCGGGTGCCGCCATCGCTGTCCTCGAAGACGTTCATGACCACCCGGAAGACGACGAACTCGAGCATCAGCTCCGCCTCGAGCCATTTCGAGTCCGAGCCCGGCTCCGCCACGCGAGAGCTGAAGATGCTCAAGGCGCTCTTGCCCACTTTTCCCATCTCCTCTGTTTTCATGTCCAGAAATCGGACCAGGCTTTCAAACACTTCCGCCGGTCGCTTTGGAGACCGCCGGACAACGTCGCCAGGAAGCGCGACCCGCACCTGCCCCGGGCAGAAAGAGAGAGAAAGACTTGGCTCGATTTTGCCGCGACTGAGAGACGATGAAAAGCTGCTGCCGTCGACGCTTGTGCTAGCTTCCTGTTTCGTAACAGCACGATTCAAGCGGAGCGAACACGAAGGGAGTGGAGCCAACCCTGCCCACAGCCCTGTTTCTCTGCCCCACTTCAAAATTGCGCCGTGCGTCTCAGGCCCCACGCGTGCTGCAAGCCCTTCGTGTGTCACGACTTCAGGCCGCAATGCCGGCTCTGGACACCCCGTGAAAAGCAGCCGTCAGGACAACGCAGAGCGGTGTGTGCTTTCGTTCGATTTCGAAGTGCATTGGACCAGAAACTCTGCACAACAAAGACAGCATGCGAGTTCGCCGTCTTCCGCTGATCCCTCTACGTTAGGAAGGACTTCCCACATCGCGCCAAGCGAACATCAACGCATGAAGCTGTTGCCTCGGGGATGGGCGCCATGCTTCCCGCAAAAAGTTCTTGCGCTGATTGCACTTCAAATCCAGAAAGCTGCGGCAGATGAATGCCCTGCAACACGCTGATTGAAGTCACTCGATGATGCCTCCATGCTACTTTACGCCTGGACATAAGCAAAGCGAAAACCGATCATGGAGCTGGTGTGGCTCGCAGACCGCATTGAAGATGCATCCCTCTTTCGCTCCGCGCGCAGCGTCTTTTCAAAAAGACGAAGCTTGAAACGGCCAAGCGCGATGTCAAATACGCTTCGGGACGTGCGATAGCTGATATTCTGCCGACTGCGCATGGCAGGAACCTAACATGCCTCGGGGTGAAACTTCGGCGGATGCCGATGGCTATTACGATTACGGCTCGGAAGAGAATCCAGGGACACATGCAAAGACCAGAGCCGTCCGCCCTGGGCTCAGACCTCAGACCTTCCCAGGTCCTGCCAGAAGCGCGCGCGCGCTGCGCAGGGCACCAGGTGGTTTTGGGAAGGAGGCTCCGAGCTCCAAAAAGACGAAAAGTGAAGACAGTGTCGCAACTGCCTTCATGAAGCCAGGATAGGTCCCAAATGGACCTGAGAAGGAAACGGAAACTGAAAGAAGGCAAACGCAGTTGCGCGAGAGCTTGAGACTGAGCTTGGAACGGCCTGGAGCTGCCCCACTTCCGCTCTCCCAAGGTCAGCCTCGCGTCACTTCAGGACTCGCAGTCGGCGGACTGTGCAAATTGCCAGTGAGGACGATCGGGCCCGCTGCCGCTCGCTTGGTTCAAAGGTCAGCAAGCCTGCGGTCTACTCAAAGGGTGTCTGTGGAATTGATCGTGAAGTGAACCATCAGGAATCGCAGCAGGAAGAGAGTGTACACAGCACTCCAGAGACTCTATAGGTTCGTCCTCACCTTCAAGAAGACAGACTAGCGGCTCAGACATAAACTCCACGACCTGGGACACAATGCAAGACGAGCAGCACAAGCACTCTGCGAGCCAGCTGAAAAAGGTTGCGGCTCGCTGCGTGCTGTTCCTGAGCTTGCGCTTCGCTAAGTACCTCAACGGAAGGTGCTTCTCGCGATCCCCTTGGGGTGTCCCCCGTAGCGCGTGGCATTTTGGAGAAAGCTACTGGTGGCGCAAGATAGCTCAGCTAGCAAGAGGAGAGAAAAGCGGAAAACGAGCCCTGCCTTCGCCCTGCCTCCGCTGTGCAAGGGGTCTGCTGAGAAAGGCACTGCATGAAGGTGCGCCATGTATCGCACTTCGGTTGGAGCTTCTTTCTCGAAAACAAGATAGCAGCTTGTCTCCTGATGCTCCTTCTTTCACAAGTTGTTGTTCATCTTTGGCTTTCTGGTTCGTTTCAGTAAGCTCTACACGGGTGTCTGTCTGCTCGCCCCCTGTTCCTTCCTGGGTTTTTGTCCTCAATTCCAGACGATGAGCTGCAGGTGCAGAAGGACCAAAAGCCAATGCGAGAGAGAGAGAGAGAGAGAGAGAGAAAGACAGAGAGACAGAGCGAGGAAGCGAGAAGCGACTTTGGGAGTTTTCCCTCTCACTATCTTCGTCTTGCCGCTCTTCAATGCCTCTTGTGGCAAATTTCCTTGCCTGTTACGCTCGGCGCGAGCCGAAGCGGCAAGCTCCAACCCTTGTTTGTTTGCTCATGTAACCGTTTCAGTATCATGAACAAAAGGGGGTCGCACCCTTATGCCTTTTATACGGATCTTCAGGAGCCGTTGACGACGGCGCAGGAAGGCGCACGCGCGGAAACCGTGCTTCTTGACATACTCGAAGCACTTGCATCCACCAGGCCGAGTAGAGAGCCATGGGTAGTCCTCCCAGTTTGAGCGTACCCTTGTTTTCAAGAAGACTTTGGCCGTGAATGTCCTTCAGCAGTACAGCATAAAGGGTGACGCCTGGTCCACACGCTGATGGCCGCAACAGAAGCCAGAAAAAGACAGCAACGTTGCGGCTCCAAGACAGACAAGCCTAGCGAGAAAGCGTCCGTCAGGTAGGCATCGTACTCCTGGTCCGTGTGCAGCTCAGGTGCCTGGAGAAGGTCTTGTGTTGCCCAAGCATCACTCATCTTTCGCTCGCCGGTCGTCGCCGGCCTGGTATGAAGCCTTCCCTCTTATGCAATTCCTCGTAGACAGCGGCTCAAGACGTGCCGGATGTTGCTCGCTCAAGGCAGGCTGTTGAAGGCCCACGGTGTCTCACGTCCTGAAAGACCTTGCTGTCGAGGCCATGCTAAAGTCGATGATTTTTATTGTCATCGTATCACCTGAAGACCGGAGAGCGACTTACAACCGGAAATCAGAGCAGAGTCGTGCATCAGAGGTCCATGCCATTTGTTTTTGACATGAGCACATTCTCAAGGGAGAGGTCACGGTGCACCTCGAGACAGGCCCCTCAGGCCGTATGCACCAGATGTCAACATGTGACGAAGGTCCGCGCGATCCCAAAGTCGTGAAGCTGCTGAATCCCCTCCATGAGCTGTCGCGCAATGGGCTGAACGACCTGAAGAAGGCCGCCATGCGCCGCCAAGCAAAGCTTCCAAAGCTTGTCGGAACTGAGGCCAGCCGCGATTTCCCTCTCGTGGCCCGGAGACACGCCACCCTGAAAGCCCAACCACATGTGGTTTCTTTTCCCGCCTTGTGGCCCTGCGGCTCTACCCCAGCCTCGCACCAGGAGAAGAGGTCCCCTTCGGTCGCGAAGGTTGTCACGACCTCGAGAAATTTTCGCCATGCCAGCCCCCCACCTCCGACATGCTCCGAGGAAAGGGCATAAGTGTGCTCTGCATCCCGGTACACACCCAGCAGATCACAGGCATAAGGGAAGCCCACGTCGTTCAAGAAGCGCACACATCCGAGGTCCTCCCGCAGGCCGTCAGGAGTCTCTGGACTGTGACTCGGGACGGAAACTTTGAGAGGAGGAATTTAAAAATAAGTGTTGGGTTTGAGACCCTATCCTGCCAGGGCAGTTCCGTTTCCGAGGGGTGGTCGATCACGAAGTCCGAGTGGCTCGTGCCCACCCACCTGCAAACACGCGCCCGCGCCCGCGCCCGCGCTGGGTTCAGCAACTCAAGAAAGCACTTCGAGCAGCCTGTTCGGCATGATTTTCACCTGCCACAAAGTTTCAACCCTGCCCCCAAACGTGGCAGCAACATGATCTCCATCGCATTCGAGTAGCTGCAACTAACCTGTTCTCATCCTTGTCCTTCATAAGGACCACCTGGGGAAAGCGCACCGGGGCGGGCAGCCACAGATGCCACAGTGACTGGTGCCCTTGTGCCTGTCCCCTGTTGCGGGTGGCATCCTGAAGCTTCCGGATCACCTGCGGCCGAGGCGAGGCGCGACACGGAGCCACCGGTGGCCCCAGCGCGGCCGCGCCCCTGTGCGCCTCGAAGCGCTGGGCCGGCCAGTCCCGCACCTGAGCTCCGAAGTGGCTCGGCTTCGCTGCGCGCAGCGCGGCCGTGCCTCTTTGTGGTCGTAGCCCTGGTGCAGCGCCCTGGGGGCCTTCACGTGCCCGTCGTCCACATCCTTCAACAGCAAAGGCACCAAGAACACCTTCGTCCCCGGATTCGCGGACCCTTCAGCTCCCAGAGATGTTTAACCCATAAGCCTGAGAGCCCCCTGAAAGATCTATCATAGTCCACCAGATCTTCCGGCGTGATCGGCATTATTTCTGATGTGCTTTCTGCATCTTGATCATCAGAAGATCAGCACCCACAGAATTCACGCCAAGTTCAAACTGCTCAGTGAACCTTCCAGGAGAGTGAAACTCCCAGCGACTGAAAGTATGCCAGCATGCTTTCTGCACAACATCTGACAATCTTACAATTCTTACAACTTAACGGCCTCATCTTCGGAGTCAGAGGCCTTGGGAAGGTATGAGCTGAAAGCATGGACATGTGAGGCAATTTCAGCTCAGGAACTGTGTAAGGAGCTGCTGGTTTCGCAGCAGATGAAGTCGCCCCTGCAGCTTGGACTCTCATGGTCTCGCCATCTCACCCTCGCTCGTTTTGGTCTTGTTAGGGCTTGCGAGCACCTGCCAAAGCGACACTACCAGTTCCAGTCTTTTGCTTGGAAGCCCCCACTCCGCAGGTGAGTCCGCCTAGACTGGCCTTCAAGCTTGCAAAGGTGTCTCTCTCCCTCCTTAGGGCAGACAGCCCCGGCCAGCTCATTGGGCGTGCTGTTGTTGGGGGGTTTGTGTGACTCGAAGTGCTCTTCAAACACAACCCCTGCACTCTCCCTACCTCTCTTCATGTCTTTCGATGATTCTCTTCTATCTTTCTGTCTATATGTCTATATGTCTTTCTTTCGGTCTTTCTCTGTCCCCTGCACTTGCGGCTGCTTGTCCAGGCACAACTGCCCTTTGCTTGGCAAAGGGTCAAACAACGGCAAGAACTTCTTTCCTAACTGCCTGACTGTCCTCTTCCCCCTGTCATGGGGTCGAGGGCTCTAGATCAAACAGCTCAAGCGGAGGCTGAGCTTCACTGCACTCTGAAAGCCCAGAAAGGTCAAGGCAAGAGCACCCAGACCCTAAACCATGCCCCTCTGCTAGGGCGAGTGTGCAAAAGCAGATTTCCAGTGCTGGCCGCCTGGCCTTGTCTCTCTCGTGCTGCCTCGAGTCTCAGTCTCCCACTGTTGCGTCTCTTGGTCGAGGCTTTCCCATTTTTACGGCGCAAAGCCCTTGCGCCTCTTCAGACCCTATAGAAAGAACCTGAAAGCAGCGTAGAGATGCTTCGCTGATCTCATAAGCTGCCCAAAACGTCTGGGTACGGGGGAAATCAGAAAACAAATTCGACAACGGATCGGACGATATCGGAAATCACCGGACCGAATCTGAAAACAAAATCGGAAAACGGCAGCCGAAATCAGGCAAACGGAAGCACAAAAATCATAAAACCAGACGGACAATATCAGAAAACACGACGGACCGGATCAGAAAACAGGACGGTCGAAGATCAGAAAACGAAAAGCAAAAAGAACCACTGCAATGGCGTGATGGGCTAACTCGCGTGAGAATTCCCATGTTGCTGGAGACCGCACTTCTGTACAGAAGCGCCGCTCATTGCTAGGTCAGTGGCCAAATCAGTGGGGTGAAAGGAGCGTGTCCTTCCTCCACCTCTCGGTTTTGGCCAAAATCCGAAGGTGAAAAGAACGCGGCCTTGCTTCACCTCTCGATTTGTGGCCGAAACCGAGGGGTGAAAGGACTGCGGCCTTCCTTCACCTCTCGGGTTGGCCAAAACCGAGGGGTGAAAGGACCGCGGCCTTCCTTCACCACGCGATTTGTGGCCAAAACCGAGGTGTGAAAGGACCGCGGCCTTCCTTCACCGCTCGGCTTGTGGCCAAAACAGAGAGGTGGAAGGAGCGCGGCTTTCCTTCACCACTCGATTTGTGGCCAAAACAAAAAACTGAAGCGAACGAGGCCTTCCTTCACCTCCCGGTTTGTGGGCAAAACCGAGAGGTGAAAGGACGGCGGCCTTCCTTCACCTATCGGTTTGTGGCCGAACCTTCACCACTCGGTTTGGTTTGGTGCCAAAACGGGGGTGAAAGGACCGCGGCATTCCTTCACCTCTCGGTTTGTGGCCAAAACCGAAGGGCGAAAGGACCGCGGCCTTCCTTCACGTTTCGGTTTGTGGCTAAAAACCGAGAGGTGAAAGGACCGCGGCCTTCCTTCACCTCTCGGTTTGTTGCCAAAACCGAGGAGATGAAAGGAGCGTGGCCTTTCTTCACCCCTCGATTTGTGGCCGAAACAGACGGGGGAAAGGAGTGCGGCCTTCCTTCACCTCCCGGTTTGTGCGAAAACAGATTGGCCGCGAACCGAGGGGTGAAAGGACCGCGGCCTTCCTTCACCTCTCGGTTTGTGGCCAAAACCGAGGGGTGAAAGGACCGCGGCCTTCCTTCACCTCTCGGGTTGCGGCTAAAAACCGAGAGGTGAAAGGACCGCGGCCTTCCTTCACCTCTCGGTTTGTGGCTAAAACAGAGGGGTGAAAGGACCGCGGCCTTCCTTCACCTCTCGGTTTGGTTTGGTGCCAAAACCGAGGGATGAAAGGACCGCGGCCTTCCTTTACCTCTTGGTTTGTGGCCAAAACCCAAAACCGCAGAGTGAAAGGACCGCGGCCTTCCTTCACCTCTTGGTTTGTGGCCAAAACCGAGGGATGAAGCCTTCCTTCACCTCTCGATTTGTTGCCAAAACCGAGGAGATGAAAGGACCGTGGCCTTTCTTCATCCCTCGACTTGTGGCCGAAACAGACGGAGAAAGGAGTGCGGCCTTCCTTCACCTCCCGGTTTTGCGGAAACAGAGAGGTAAAAAAAGTGTGGTCTTCCTTCGCCTCGCCAAAGCCGAGAGGTGAAAGGACCGCGACCTTCGTTCACCTCTCGGTTTGTAGCCGAAACCGAGGGGTTAAAGGACTGCGGCCTTCCTTCACCTCTCGGTTTGTAGCCAAAACCGAGGGGTGAAAGGACCGCGGCCTTCCGCGGCCTTCCTTCACCTGTCGGTTTGTTGCCAAAGCCGAGGGGTGAAAGCCGCGGCCTTCCGCGGCCTTCCTTCACCTGTCGGTTTGTTCCCAAAACCGAGGGGTGAAAGGACCGCGGCCTTCCTTCACCACGCGATTTGTGGCCAAAACCGAGGGGTGAAAGGACCGCGGCCTTCCTTCACCTCCCGGTTTGTGGGCAAAACAGAGAGAGGAAAGGACCGCTGCCTTCCTTCACCTCTCGGTTTGTGGCAAAAACCGAAAGGTGAAAGGACCGGCCTTCCTTCACCTCTCGGTTTGTGGCCAAAACCGCGGGGTGAAAGGAGCGCGGCCTTCCTTCACAACTCGGGTTGTGGCAAAAACAGAGTGGTGGAAGGAGCGCGGCCTTCCGTCACCACGCGATTTGTGGCCAAAACAGAAAGTGAAGGGAGCGAGGCCTTCTTTCACCACGCGATTTGTGGCCAAAACAGAAAAGTGAAGGGAGCGAGGCCTTCCTTCACCTCTCCCGGCTTGTGGGCAAAACAAAAGGGTGAAAGGACCGCGGCCTTCCTTCACCTCTCGGTTTGTGGCCAAAACCGAGGGGTGAAAGGACCGCGGCCTTCCTTCACCTTCCGGTTAGTGGCCAAAACCGAGGGGTGAAAGGACCGCGGCTTTCCTTCACCTCTTGGTTTGTAGCCAAAACCGAAGGGGTGAAAGGACCGCGGTTTTCCTTCACCTCTCGGTTGTGTGCCAAGACCGAGGGGTGAAAGGAGCGCGGCCTTCCTTCACCTCTCGATTTCTTGCCAAAACCGAGGTGATGAAAGAACCGTGGCCTTCCTTCACCTCGCGGTTTGTGGCAAAACAGCTGAAAGAAGTGTGGCCTTCCTTCACCTCTCGGTTTGTGGCCAAAACCGAAAGTGTCAAAGGACTGCGGCCTTCTCGGTCTGTGGCCAAAACCGAAGGGTGAAAGGACCGCGGCCTTCCTTCACCTCTCGGTTTGAAAGGTGAAAGGACAGCGGTCTTCCTTCACCTATTGGTTTGTGGCCAAAACCGAGGGGTGAAAGGACCGCGGCCTTCCTTCACATCTCCCGGCTTGTGGGCAAAACAAAAGGGTGAAAGGACCGCGGTCTTCCTTCACCTCTCGGTTTGTGGCCAAAACTGAGGGGTGAAAGGACCGCCGCTTTCCTTCACCTTTCGGTTTGTGGCCAAAACCGAGGGGTGGAAGGACCGCGGCCTTCCTTCACCTCGCGGTTTGTGGCCGAAACCGAGGGGTGAAAGGAGCGCGGCCTTCCTTCACAACTCGGTTTGGTGCCAAAACCGAGCCTTTTGGTTTGGTGCCAAAACCGAGGGGTGAAAGGACCACGGCCTTCCTTCACCTCTCGCGGCCTTCCTTCACCTCTCGGTTTGTGGCCGAAACCGAAGGGTGAAAGGACCGCGGCCTTCCTTCACCTCCCGGTTTGTGGGCAAAACAGAGAGAGGAAAGGGTCGCTGCCTTCCTTCACCTCTCGGTTTGTGGCAAAAACCGAAAGGCGAAAGGACCGGCCTTCCTTCACCTCTCGGTTTGTGGCCACAACTGCGGGGTGAAAGGAGCGCCGCCTTCCTTCACAACTCGGCTTGTGGCAAAAACAGGGAGGTGGAAGGAGCGCGGCCTTCCTTCACCACGCGATTTGTGGCCAAAACAGAAAAGTGAAGGGAGCGAAGCCTTCCTTCACCTCTCCGGCTTGTGGGCAAAACAAAAGGGTGAAAGGACCGCGGCCTCGGTTTGTGGCCAAAACCGAGGGGTGAAAGGACCGCGGCCTTCCTTCACCTCTCGGTTTGTGGCCAAAACCGAGGGGTGACAGGACCGCCTTCACCTCGGTTTGTAGCCAAAACCGAGGGGTGAAAGGACCGCGCCCTTCCTTCGTCTCTCGATTTGTGGCTAAAACCGAGGGGTGAAAGGACCGCGGCCTTCCTTCACCTTTCGGTGTGTGGCCAAAACCGAGGGGTGAAAGGACCGCGGCCTTCCTTCACCTCTCGGTTTGTGTGAAAGGACCGCGGCCTTCCTTTACGTCTTGGTTCGTGGCCAACACCGAGGGGTGAAAG